TAAAGGAGTCATTCTGCTTTCACTGTCTGTGGCGACTTAACTGACTTTGTAATGTGCACTTGCACACAAGCACCGTTTTATAAAACCAAATGTTGTATTTCTTATTGAATCTTGTGTATTTTATATATTCGTTTACAATCATTTCAATGGCTTATGCGTTGTTGATTGAGCTTTTTTTTTTCATCTACTTGAACTGTCTTGAACTATATATATAGGGCCTTGGAGTTTGTTTATGAACAATCAAAACAACTCTGCTGACTACTGTAACTTCCATATTTTAAGAGTCTGGAATATTTTCTCAGACAGTGAAGTATTTCACATGCTCCTGTGAATATTTTCATCTTTCCTGTGCAGTCTGAGGTACCTCTAGGGAAATGTTTTTCCAGATATTCAAACCAGTCACAACCTAAAAATGAGCATTTTATCAATATTGTATTGTGCTGACTTTAATGACCACCTTAAGTGTCCATCTAGCGCCATTATCAGGTGAACATTTTAATGTGTCCAGTACTTTGATTCATTACCAAATACCTGCAGAACTCATGAGATTTCCATACTTATTTATTTATTATTATTATTTATTTTAGGGCCCATAAAGAACTATAAAAGCCATGTAATGTTGTACAAATATTGAAGAAGCTCCTATAGGGTGGGTGATGGGTCAAACAAACACAGGACTTCACTCAGGAGACCAATGTTTGCATACCAAAGTTAATACTGGCTTCTTTTAATATCAATGCAGCCTAGTATGCTAGTATGCGTAGCATGCTATGCTCCTGCCCTATGCGACGCGTCATCTGTAAGGTTATGTTGGTGACTAATGCCAAAACATGATGCTTTTCCAAAAACTAACCGTGTAGTTTTGTTTCCAAAACCTAACCAGGTAGTTTTGAAATAGAACTGTGACAATTTCATGATGTTAAGGACATGATTTAAACTGCGAGCATTAGAACTGTCATTTTGTCATATGCTTTATTCGTGTTTCCTGGTGCCTGCACTGGTGTTGCTTTCATGTTGCCTGCATGTATTTGATCACATTTCATGCATGCTGCCATATAATATGTTGTTAAGACTTTTTGTCCATTTCCATTTCACTGGATTAGCAAAAGGTAGCAGCCTAATGCACTAAACTAAGATCGTTTTATCATGTTGACATTGTTGTTTTGAGCATGCTGATGTTAGCATTTTGCTGGAGAATTATTAGTTCATTAATTCAAAAGATCCTGCCCTCAGTTATACTAATAATTGCCTTCAAGTTAGATATCATTCAATAGTAATAAATTAGCATCCCCAGTGTTATAATTTCCTGTTCATTTCATTCAGTAACCTGTGCATTTTATTAATTATGGACTGCCTGAAATAAAAGGATGTTAAACACATCACTGTGTTCTCTTTCCCATTCCTCAAACAGTTTTACTAGATAACAAATCGTTCCACCCTCAGTCTTTAATGATGCCTCATCCAGATCATAAAAATTCAACTTCAAAGTTTTGATTCATTTTATGGTTTTGGGCGGATGCACAGAAGAGATGGAAGGCGGCAAATTAGGTAGTGTGGGTGCACAATTTAGTAATTTGGGGATATTAATTATTAATTTGAGAGACTGAAATACTGATATGAAGAGAGGAAAGAAGTATACTGAGTGCATAAATGAGTCACTTTATGAAATTATTTGTAGTTTGTGGGCAGGAACAAGGCTTCCATCTGTGATACCAACCAGACTCCATAGAGAAATGTTGCAATTCAGGCAGGGATAGTGCTTCAGTCAGTAAAAGCACAATCATACCCATTTTTCCCTTTCAGCACATATTGTGAAAGCTGGTGTGTGTGTGTGTGTGTGTGTGTGTGTTTTCCTGCCTCAGTGCTCACGTGTGGGTGGGAGTCTGAATGCTTTGGTCCGTCTCTGGAATGTCAACAATGAGTCACGTCGGCCCGCTCGACTTGACTCGGGGCGGGGAGCTGCTCCACTGGCCTCGCTCACACACACTTATGTAAAGTCCGTACTGGTTCAGCCTGTTTCCAGAAACAGCATTTACTCACAGACATATACAACACGTGCAGCTTTGTGTCATTAACTTCTAATTTCATTGTTTTAAAACCAATTTTTGTGTTTCCTCTCATACTTCAACATCCTCAGAACCAGATGAGTCTTGATCATCACCTGTTTGAGTTATTTTTCATGCAGAAATGCCAAACATTTTCTAGTTTCTGCTTGTTGGACATGAGGAAGACTTTCCTCTGTCTTACATTTTAGTAAATTGAATATTTTTGGTTTTTGGACGAGAGATCTGAGGACTCTGTTTTTGGAAATTTTAATGGCCATATTCCCTATGCTCATTTGTGGACTAAATTATTAATGAATTTATCTAGAAAATAATCATTGCTCTGATTGATTATTTGAAAATGACTGTTAATTACTTTTTTTTTATATAGAGAAAATGCCTTTTTGCTCCCTTGCAGAAAATTAGATAAACAGATCGATACCACTCTAATGTCTGTGTGCTTAATATGAAGCTACAGCCAGCAGGCGCCTATCTTGGCAAGCAACAGTCTGAAACCAGAAAAATAAATTGCAGCACAAGACTCTATAAAAACACAACTTTTTAAACTATATTTGTTTATACATATAAAACAAACAACATATAATGAGGCTCTCAGACAGAGCCAGGCTAGCTATTTCCCCCTGTTTTCAGGCTTTGTGCTAAGCTAAGCCAAGTGACTGCTGGCTGTAGCTTCATATTTACTGTGCACACACGAGTGATGCCAATCTCAGCAAGGAAGCAAATAAGCATATTTCCCAAAATGTTGCTATATTCCTTTTAATAGTTGAAAACAAGGTTTAGAGAAGGGCTGTACACGACTCAGAGTTATGTCGGTCGAATCAGATTCGGCTGTTCAATGCAAACATTCAACTATTCGTTCCTTTTTTCCTTATAGCGTTTGGGAGTTTGAAGCCAGAGACTCTATTGCTGTGAGCTGTAAAGTCACCACTTCTAACAGAAGGCAGAGGATAACGTTACTTTGGAGCCTTACCATGCAAAACCTGTCATCTTCCAGGAAGCTTCTTCTCGACCACAGTTGCCTGTACCGAAGAGCAGCATGACAGCGAAGAGTGCTCACTTTGCGGCAAAGTCTAGGGATGTTTTGGTACCCAACTTTTGCACTGCACACTGGCTGGCAAAACTCCCGCTAAAAATCAAAAACAACAACAACAAAAAAGACTGATTGACTTGAAGGAATCTCGATCAATGTAAGGGTCTCTGACTGCTGATTCGAATTTTCAACTTTTAGGGGGCAGCCCTAGTTTAGAGTCATGTTATCCAGCCCTGTCTCTTAAAGAAAATGTTGGCATTGAACTTTTCTGCAAACCACAGATACGTTACATTTGTACATTGCATACATATCAATATTTCCATAGCATATGAGCTAATGTTGTCATTGGGAGGTGGAGGGGATGGTGGATGGCATGACATCTAGGCGAGATGTATGCAAAGTGGCAGACCACTGTTTGAGACCAACAAACCAAATCAGTTGTGAGACATCAGCCATTTTTGTGGCACCAACATCAGGTTTTTTAAGCCCAAACATCTTTTCTTTACTGTAACAGAGTGGTTTTGTGCCTGAACATAACTACACTTTAACTGCAGCATAAAGAAATGAAGAAACTTGAAATGTTGAAACTTAAAATTGAAGTTTCAACATATTCTGTGGTTTGCAGAAACCTACATTGCCAACATTTACTTTGGTGATTGGGCTGTGTTATCATATGTAGCCTAAAGTTTTAGTTAGGTTTTCAGCTAGTTATTAGATGTTAAAATAAATCAGTGCTGCAACTTACATTTATTTATTTTAACCTGACAGTTATTTCCCAGGTTCATTGTTTGGTCCTGGAAAACCTGTATGTTTTCCTCAGGCCCACAGTAACATATTCAAATCTCTTGTAATGTTTGACCAACAGTTGAAAACCAAAATATATCCAGGTGTAGTGTCATATAAGACAAAGAAAAGCTGTAAATCCTCAAATTTTACAAGCTAGAATATTTGGTATTTCTGCGTGAAAAATTACAAAAAGAGGACCTATTGTGTACATTTTCAGGCTCATTCTTGTACTTTGGGTTTCTACTACACTTAAGTTTTCTTATGCTGTCTGTGCTGGAGCACCTGTATTCACCCTCTCTGAGATGCTCCGTTGAAGCGCCTGTCTCTTTAGGTCCTGCTCCTGACAAAGCCCAGGCTGCTCTAATTGGTCAGTGCTTCTTTCGCATCTCTGCATCATCATTACATCCTGGGAAATGACTGTAACAGAGAGTAGCGGCACTGTGCAGGGGAAAAATCACCAGCAAAAGCTTCTAAACACAAGCGGACATGTTCCAGCAGGAATATGATCCGAAATATGGAACAAATTAACAACATCGGCAACCAAGATTACATGTTTCCCTGACGGTAGAATGTAGCTACATGTAGCAGTGTACGTAAAAAAAAATCCTGCAGTATCATGCCTGGAGCAGACAACAATACAAAGAAATCTGTCACAAGCTGATCGTCAAAGTAGAAAAAAACATTGAAAGCAGAGAGCGGTCTGAAGTCTGAGGTTTTGCTAATAGGGATTACTTTTCCATATATCTACCTCATCATTTTAAAGTTTGGCCATGTTTAATATAAACATTCAACATTGTAACAGTATATGAGATAACATTTGTAAAAGCATAACAGGTCCCCTTTAAATGATTATCAAAATGGTTGACTAGATAATAAATCAAGAATTGAGACTGAATTGAAAAGTTGGTAGAAGTTTCTTGAAATGCCACAGAGTCTTGTTGCCCCTTTAACACAGACAGGTGCCTCAAACAGGAAGTCCCTCCTTCCCTCCCACTGGTAGTCTTTGAGCTCCTGAATGCCCTTGGGGCCAATCACAATTCCTCCCTCCCCTGTGTGTCCGCCCAGCTGAATCTTCCCCTCCTCTGTCTGTCTCGCTTCTGCACTCCGCTTTCAACCTCCAGACTGTCTGCTGGGGCACTGTGAATGTGTGTGTGTGTCTGTGGATGTGTGTGTGTGTGAGTGAGTGAGTGTGTGTGTGCTGCAGAGTGTGTGCGTGAGGAGACTTGAAGAGAGACTGCAGAGGAGGACAGCAGTGGCTTCTTGGAGTAAGTTTGTTCTCTGACAGAGAGAAAGTTAAGGGAAGTGAAGATGATGATGGTGATGGGCTTCCCTCAGCCTCTGTGGGCTCAGGTCAGTGGATGCTGTCACTGTAGCTGCTGTCTGAAATGTGTGTGTGTGTGTGTCTGTGTGTCTGTGTGTCTGTGTGAATTTGAGTGTGTGTGCCAGAAAAGGAAATTCATGTTCCTCCTGCTATTGTTTGATACAGTGTTTTCCAGCCTGTTGATAGTTTCCAGATTCCATGCTGGCTCTGTGTGTCTTTATTAAGTTTTGTAAGCTGCCAAATGTTATGGAAGAATTTTTTATTCAATTATCAATACAGCAAATAACGTATTAAGTTTTTCAATCAGTCTTTTAGACTGTAAAATATCAGAAATAACAATAAATGCCATCACAAGTTCTCAGAACCTTTGGTAACACCTTCTTATTATTGTTACTATTTTTAGAGTCCAACCTGTCATGCATTTTTAGGACAATATAGAGTAAAGGAAAAAAACAATAACAACGCTGACTTTTTAAAAAACATATAACTGACAAACATTTTTGATGAACATCAGGGCTGTCACTTTGAAAATATCAGCCTTAAACATTTGATTGTAATGATGTGTTTTGTTTTGTTTTTTCAATTTGTTTAAGCGCATTTATTCTTATTGTAATTGTTTTTTATATGTGTAAGTCTTTATTTATTTTTAATTTTTATAATTATTATTCTTTGTGTGTGTTCAAATTGACAAGGTGAATGCAACAAGCCACTGGATGTCCTGTTACCCTTTTAGTAAACTTTGCATTAAAATTTGCATTAATGCAGAATGTTGTCACCTAGCGAGCTGTGTTGAAGGGATAATACAGACTAATACTGGCCATTTTATCCATCAAGCTCTCCTTTAGTTAGCTGTTCAGGATGTCAGCATGCTCCACAATAGATTAACAAAGTCTTTTCTGCTTCCAGTGGTCAAACTTAGGCTGGGTATACACTGTATGATTTTAGAAATGTGGTCTCCAGGTCTTCTGTATCTGACTGACTGTAACGGAGTATAGTTGGACTTTCTACTGTAAAAAATTAGCAATAAATCTTCTAAACTGCAATCTTCACAACTGGACATGTTCCAGCGTAAATACCATCCAAAAATCTTGGAGAAATTCAGAGAAGAATTCTAGCTCCTACTGTACGTGTTAGTCATCTGCAATGTAAAGCCAAAGCTAGCAATTTGTGTGCACTGCGCAGTCTGATTGTCGAGCCACGACCTGAGTGCTCTCACTGTACGTGTTAGACAGAAAATAAAACAGCCCATCGGCCCCTGCGGATTGTTTTGACAATTAACACTTAATAAAGTTTTGTTTGAAAGCTCTAGGCAGGTAGAAGTTTGTTTGCTGGCAGATGTCTGTAACCAATACAGTTCACTGTAACTAACAAGGCAGAAATGTGCTACCTTGATCATCTGTGCCAACCTGTGCGCTGAAACAGCTGAAAATCAGACGCTGTTTCCTGAAAATGTTTCTCCTGTTGACATCATTCGTAACAGAGGGAGTAGGAAACATCAAAGAGACACCACGTCATGTCGCCATGACACTTTCAGACATCCTGTTTGCCACTTCGTGCAGGCGCATTAAAAAAAAGGCACTGATTTTGGGGATATCAAGACGTGGCTCTGCCTAACCTGTGCAAGAGCCTGACGACGGCTGACCAAAATGTCAGAAATTCATCTGAATGTCTGACATCTAGCTGGGAGTACTTGATAGGGCCATGACTGGTCCTTGCTCCACCCTGAGCACTGCATGGCAAATTATGCTGTGTGGCTCAAAATTTGGGTCAGAAACAGGCTCAAATCAAACAGTGTATGTCCAGCTTTATGAAAGAATTGGGATTTTCTGCTCTTTGAGAGATGGATTATATTTTCCAACATTATCCATAAGGTTTTGTTTGGCATGCATTACCTATTCCTCCTAGTCTTTTCCCCCCGGTGCATTATGTATGATTTGGCTTTTAATTTATTACCTGATAAATTATATAAGCATTTAGTGGTTACAAGGTGTGTTTGAGACAAACACAAACAGATTTAAATAATAAGGATCTCTAATTATCTCCGCAAGGCCTAAGCCTGTATGGGCTCATGTATTTGGTCGTTTGTGTGTGTCTTGAGGTTGCTGTGATTCATAATTTGTGAGAAACCTGTTTTATGAACTGTTTTATCCTGTTAACTGCTGACTTCTCACTCATCTTAACTAGCCAGTATGGTTCACAAGGTTGGTATTTTTTTTAACTAGAGCATCTGCAGATTAACTCTCTACCTGATATGTTATTACTCACTTACCAGATGAATTAGTCTCCGTTTTTGTTATCTTCACTGCCATCTTAACCTTAGTCTCGCTCACCAGACCTTTCTCAAGAAAAGAAAGGTCTGGCTGGGCCGACTCTCACTTTAAGATTGGAGAAAAAAAAAAAACGCCCCGGCTGCTTGTATTTCTTTCAACCAATCACAATCGTTCTTGGCGGTGCCATAGCAACGGTGCGCTTGCAAAAATATTGCCGGGGGGAAACAGGTTTTGGTGTAACACACCCACAAAAATATTGCCTACAGGACGCAAACCATGTCAGAAAAATGGCTACATCCTCGCAAGATCAAACACCGCAAAAGTTAGTAAAGGACGTGTTGAAAACTGCAACTGGAGGTGGTAGGGCAGGACTTCAGCAGGTGGCTCGTTCCGCCCAATGAGAGGCTGATCTTTGCAGCAAACTTCCACCCACTCAGACTATCTTAACCTTAACAGAGCCGGGGGGGAACAATTCCAGTGGGCGCAACTGCGCCATGTACTGGCTTCCATAGCTGCGACCTGTTTTACTCCATCCGCTGCATGGCGTCATACAGGAGCGTTTTGGAACAGGAGCGTTTGCCCGATTTTCTGTAGGAATTGTCTAAAATGGCTGTGATCAGCTCTGGCAGCCTACTAGCAGAGAGCTGCACTCTGAGTGCACTTTGTATTCCATTATTCAGTTTTGTCATGGTATTTTTCATTTAATGAATTGCCTGTAATGAGATGCACAGGATAAGTGGAGTCTGGGTAGTAGCCAGCATCTCTTTCATATCTTCTCTGCAATGTTCCGTCTGACTCATGCCTCTTTTGTTATTTGTCGCTGTGCATGGGTGACTAGAAACTAGGTATCTCATCTGATTTAAGAAGCAGGGACAACCAAATATCTGCTATTTTAACCTGTTAAGTGACTTCAGATAATCTCAGGATTGTTGATGATTACTAATGACTTGTAGAAGTGAAAGAGAATGACTTGAAATGAAAATACATCAGTGTGAGAGAAGAAATGAGAAGTTACAGAAGTTGAGAGAGAAAAGGGAAGAAAGAGGACTTTGTGTGTGTAAATCAGTCTGATTACATGGTGTGTGTGTGTGTGTGTGTGTGTGTGTGTGTGTGGTGTGTGTGGTGCGTGTGTAAAGACTCAGCAGCCTGCCACCTGGCTGGCGAGTGATGCAGTGGTGGTGGGGGGGGGGGGGGGGGG